TTCCCTATGGTTAAAAGACAACAACCAAAAGAAAAGGTAAGTTTGATGAGTGGATCAATCAATCAGCCGCACATTTATCTGACCATGAACAGCAGTCAGCATAAAGATATTTAAGCAGTGGGACTGGGGCTTGGAAATTTGAATATGGTCTACACTTTCTGTTTTGACCATCAAATTGAATGACAGAAACTTTCCCACCCCAGTTGCTCGATTGATTGATTCACTGTTATACAGAGACTGAACAGTCTAATCATATTAAGAGAGCCGTGATGTATAATATAGTTCTCTTCTGACCAGATTTTGGTACCAAGTTTAAAAAAATAACCCGTTGGCAATTAATTAGAACAGCTAGGCATGCGTGCATGCAAAAGCAGAAATCAATTTCATTCAAAGTTTACAACTGGGCAGGAGGAGGTAGGGAATCTTAATGACTAAAAAAGAATGACTTTACTACAGTAAATGCAGGTTGGTGGATTGCAGTGACATAATTAGCCATGCATATCTCGACGATCTAAATTTCTACTATCTGCTGCTACTGTTTCAGTGGTGGTGGGGTCAAATTAGCTTGGTTTTGAGTGAAAACCTGAAGCAATTAGCAAGATGGCCGTACAGCGAACGAACTTGGCTGGGTTTTATGGCAATTGCGCTTTAATTGTTCTGCATTGGGTACCTGACCCCAGCTGCCAAGACTCGTTGCTGCTCTATCTGCAATGCCAATGTCATACAAAAATAATCAAGGGTTGAGCTTCATATAGGTAGATATATATATATATATATGTATGGTCATAAATGAAGGAATAATTACTAGTTTAATTGTAATTACTTGGAATAATTCATGCAATTTGTTCTTGAGGTAGCAATATTCATGTTCTAGCACTTCCAAAGCTCTCAGGCACCTGAAAAAGTACATGAACAAAACCCCATATGAGAATTAATATCAAACACCATGAACAACATGCCTATGTATTGTTATTGTTATTTGTATTATCTCAACTCATGATGCTGTTCGTCTCGTCTTTATTAGAAAGATAATACATACGCGTCGTGGGTTATTAAATTAAAGGAAGAGAAAAAGGCGTAGGGTGACTGACTGACTGACCCAGCACGGTTGTTGTGTTCAGAAGCAGCGCGAAAAGCAACGCAGACGTTTCTGATTCTCTTGGCTCCAATGCTTGAGCTGCTTCCCATAAACTGATTCAAATGTGTCCCCATTTTCTTGTAGTCCGAGAATTCTCTATCCATCCTGATTAATTCAATTCAATGTTCATATCACCAACCCATCAACCAAAATTAATTAAAATGAAGAGAGAGAGAGAGAGAGAGAGAGAGAGAGAGAGAGAGAGAGAGAGACTCACAATAATTCTCTGAGATTTCTTAAGAGCTTCTCAGACTCATGAAAGTAGATGTTAACAACTTCAGAAACAAAGTTTGGGGAGCTCTCATCTTGGAGCTGTTGAAGCTGCAAGAATTGCTCATCCAAAACTCCCTATACAAACAACAACATGAACTATTTTTAATTTATACAATTAATTTTGATTAATCATAAAAATATAATAATTAAGTTCCAATGAAATGTTGTTAATTAACATGAAGATGAAGATGGACAAGAACCCACCTGGTGAAAGAGCATTGCGAGCAACCGATTCATGTCGGCTCGCAACCGATCAGCACCCAACCCCAACATCCACACTGGCAGACCCGTCTTGGCTGAACAAACAATAAAAATGAAGAACAAAATATTGAGATCAGATTTTGCTTTGCTTCACCAGCAGCTTCAGGGTTTATGGGTTTTGTTGTGTTTGTGCTCTTTCACTTCATCTATATATATAAGCGGGAAAGCCCACCTGGGAAAATTTAAAGCAAGCATTAATCTAATTGGACCCCACTCTTAGCCTATAAAATTAATTAAACAAATTGTTTAACCAAGTAACTAATCTTTGCTTATATTCAAACCCAAAATTCTAAAATAAGATTTGAATAGTTTCAGAGCGTGCAATGTTGAACATACCGAGGCGAATGTGGGGTATCAACCGGACCAGCCTACAAACCACAGGCCTTAACTCAACTTACTTATAACGGAATAATACTATTTTGATATTTTTGATTGATGACATAATGATACGTAGAAAAATTATTCTATGTGTCATTGCGTTATTGACCTTGAATTTGCTTGAGAGTTTTTCTCCAACTCAACTCAACTCAGTTTAACAACCTAAATCTTATTCGACGAAAAATAAAAAGAATAAACAACCTAAACCCTATTTAAATTAAATTAAATGAGACAGAGTGAGAGAGGGAGGTGGTGACCTGCTGTCCCCGTAGCCAGTGACCCCGCGTGCTGTCTGTTGTGGCAGGTTGGTGCGGCGGTGAAGCCTCACTCCCAACCGACAACTGCCTGCACCCGGTTACTTGTCAGTCACTCACTCCATATTCCATTCCACACACACACTCCCATATAAAATAGAATAAAAATAAGTGGAAATTAAAGCAACCCTTTTTCCATTTTTGACATATTTTATCCTTTTTTATTGAGAAAATGTTGGCGGGTTGTTGTTGTTGCTTTCTTTTTGGGCTTCTCCCACTGCCAGAATTGGAGAGCCTGCTCTGCAGCGAAGGCAGGGACTTTTGGTTTTGGGAATGGGAGCTCTGATAGAAAGAGCTAACTTAGCCCCCCCGGTAAACAAGGTTCTCAGTGCACTGGGTACACACACACCTGGGGGTGACAAACTCTGGGATGGGGTTGACACGTGGCAAAATGGGTAATGCTTGCTCGTTTGAGGAGCAAGCATGATGAAGAAGGGACTTTTTCAAAAGGATGGTGGTGAATTGATGAACAAGCACAAAATTAGAGGCTTAATTTATTCAATTTTATTTGTGTCACTTATTATTTGCATGAGAAAGAAGAAGAGAACCACTCATTTTGGTGGGATTAAATTTTGATTATGCTAATTAGTCGTGGTGACTTTTCTTAAAGTCGTAGCCAATCCCTTTTCTGTTCATTAGGTAGTAATAATGAGTAATGCTTTGTAAATCTCAAGTTATAATGGCCCAACTTCACCAAAAGGCTCTTTATTTTCTGGACCTATATACATATTGCCCTAATCACTACAAAACTCTTCCAATAATTATGTGACGGATGATAGTTTCTCTCTTCTAAGATTTAAGAGCTCTTAGAGCTCTCTTTATTTTAGGAGTTGGATAGGAAGTATGGTTGGAGGTGAGTTTTCTTACTTTCTCTCTAAGAAGATGGTTTAGGAAATCCATTATAGGTACTTTAAATTAATTATTTTCATGAAATCCATTCATTAAGATGTTAAATAAATTTTGGAATTACAACTGAGTAATGTGGAGGAAGGGCCTTCATGGCCTCTTCTCTCCAGCATCATTTTTCTTTTAAAGCTTGATTGGATAAATGGGGTTTTTACCATTAAAAAAATGTAAAGTAAAAAAAGAAAAAGAAAACTGGTAAAAATAGTATTGCACAGACATGGCCATTTAATTCTTCATTTTAAAGGAAACTATAGAACCAAACATTTCTTGAGTATCAATTAAACTATTAATATTTGGTCCAACAGAACTATGTCACGCATTTACCATTTTACTTAAAAGACCCAATAAATATTTGGTAAATCAATTACAAATGACCAATTAGTGCAGTGATTTGGAGTAATTTCGCTCATAAAAAAGGTTTTGGGTTCGAGTCCCAACATTCATGCAGTGTGTGAATTTAGTATTATCGCCCCTCTCAATAAGAAATATCCTAAAAAAAATAATTTGGTAAATCAGTTAGCTTGACCCTTTCAAAGATGATGTATGAAATAATTTGGTCATCCACCCCAAAAAAAATGTGAAAAAAAAAACAAACAAACGTAGCAAAGAAACAGGGAAATGCTATGGAGGCTTCGAATATTCACCTTTTTTCTTCTGTGTCTCTCGCTTCTAATAAAAGTTTCTTGAAACTTTAAACAGAAGGCTTTTATCATTGAATGAAATAATTAGCAGACCAAAATGCATGAACATGCAGAGAGAATATAATTATCTTATATGTGTCTCGAAATGGTAGACATATTTTTTACTTAATCTGCACAAAGTGTGCAGGAAGGAACCATCCTAATCTAGATTAACATATATTATGGGTTTAACCATAGTTCATTTTATTTTAATATATGAAGCATGTTAATTAGTTACTTTGTTAATTACTACCTCGGCTTGCTCACATGAAAAGCATGCTTTGACGTAAGCAAACTCTATCATAGATATGGGTCCATTTTTACTTGGATAAATTGGATGCAGGACACCAATTGACTGACTCTTAAAAGGGATTGTCGGTAACGGGACTCGAATATAGAATTTGATAGAGAAAAGAACGATCCTTACTAACTCAACTAACCTTTATTGACATTATTTATTTATTTTTTGGGTGTGAAGGTTTATATCTTTATTTTTAGGTAAACAACCTAAAATCATTCTCAAATTTGTTGTTGTTTAATTATAGGTCGTGTAAGTCTCGAGATACAACAACATTGGGATAATAACACTTCAAAACTAGTTATCATTATGCAACCAATATTGTATCATATGAATTTGTACTGCTAACTAGCATGCCAAAATTATTAATCACTTTTACTACTAATGTGGTACAGCCAAAATGATTAAAACCCAAGAATCTTTTCTTAAACAACTTTTGGTGCTTTTGCTTATTGGATTAGAGGAACAATGCACGTCATTTATGTAAGAAAATAAAGAAAGAAAGCATGCTCTTTGTTTTTTTTTTTTGGGGTATATTGACGTAAGCAGACCATTGGGTAAGGCACAAAAATTGCTTCTTTATAGGAAGCACTTTTCATGGCGATTATTTTTTTTTTCTAACCCATGAAAACATTAGGTGCTTTTGCAAATATAATATGAAACCGTAGACTTCATAACCATGCTTCTTGTGCTCCCGTGCTTATTTACTATGGCCTTTATCCATTCAAGACACAGTCTTCCTTTTTGTCTTATTACTAAAACTTTTTCACTCTTTCAGCTTTGAAGTTCCGAATGCTAGTACAAAAGATTCCTAAATTCCTATAGACCCTATGGGGTGTGTAAAGAGTACTTCATCAGAAAGCTATGGGGTGGGATTATTAGGAGGGTGTTTTTATATTATAGTGGAGATGAAACTCATTGCTCGAGATAGTAAAAAATTTGAACCCATTTAGTCTGAGTTCGTGTTTTAAAAACCCTCTTTTTCAGGTAGATGTTAGACAAATTGATTGACATAGACACTTCAAATTGTGCTATATGACAAAGAAATAGAGACAAGAAATATTAACGTATGTGTCACTCATATCATTTATGCTTAATATACATAGTATACGAGAAATTTTATGGAATCGGCACATATATAAATTCCTCAAAAACAATATATATTTTTCGTATATATATATATCATGTATGGAGTTGCTTACACAAATTTCTTATCAAGAAAAGGAAGAAAAAAAAAACTACACAAGTCAATGCTCAAACGCCCCTTTTCATAAAAAGGAAAAAACTCAAACGCCCACGATTTACTTGAAATTCACAAGGCCAAGCTTTGCTTAGTTCAAAGCCATTCTTTGTTTGTGGGCCTCTGTGGGTAACTTCACGTCAGTTGCCAATCCAATAGCTTGGAGAAATCTCACAACATACCAAGTCATGTCAAGCTGCCACCAATTGAGGCCATGTCTAGCTGAGTACTCAAAAGCATGGTGATTATTGTGCCAACCCTCTCCAAATGCTAATAATGCCACCCACCTGAAATTAACATTTCTTTTAGAATCCAAACTATCTAAAATTTAAAGAAAATTCTCTCAAATACTATTATTATTGTAACAAAATTCTCAAATAGCATTATTATTGTAATATTATTTGAGAGCCTTTCCCAAAACTAGACTAGCAATTAAGCCCAATAGGGCTTGAACTCAGCCCACACCCATGAAGTTGAGTGGATTAACAACAAAAAGGTCCTACACTGATATGGACAAATTTCTAACAAATTATGTTGAGAGAATGTACACATCTACAAGCGAAAAATTTGGGTGGGAACTTTCCTATCATAGATCGAGTGGTAAACTTTGTATGGTTAAAATTGTGACATTATATTTTACCACTCGGCCTGCTGCGAAGTTCCCACCCAACTTTTTCTCTTACTTTTGGAGGGTTTAGAGATATGGTAGTACCAATTGTTCCTGGACAAGTCACAAGTATTCCATGCTTGCTTTCCCCACACGTGGCAAGCCGAGTTAACCAGCCATGTAATGTGGTATACCCATATAATTCTCACACCCTGCAATAGTTAATTTGCAACAAAATGATGTCTAAGACTGTTTGACAGGCTCACAAGAAAGGCTTTAGAAAAAGCAAAAAATGAAAGCCATTCTTACCATTCCCCACACAAGGAATGGGAATCCTCCCATTGCATACAGTAGAACTCCAAGAGCAATGGGGTGAGCAATGTAAGTTTTCTGAATGAGCTGATAGAAGGGCTGCTTCTCTAAATCCCCAGCATTATTTGATCCCCCACACTGACAATGTTCAAGCATGAAATATTCATTAGAAAGAAGAAGAAGATAGAATAAATTTATGTTTTGCATATAATTAAAAGGAAAAAAAGAAAAGAACAGAAGTTCATACCCTTTCAGCCACAGAATTGGTATCAAAGAG